TCTCAACAAAACTCATAATTTTCTGTGAGAAAAAAGACTTACCATCCGATTTTTTAAAAATAGGCAAAAGACAAAACAGGTACTTCACAAAATAAAAAATTTCAAATGACCAATAGACATACGAAAAGATCTTCGAAACCATCACTCAGGCAAATGCAAATTAAAACCACAGTAAGGTATCAGTACATATCCAGAAGAGCTAAAATTAAAAAGAATGACATGATCAAGTATTACAAAGATGCGGAACAATCGAAACTTCATACACTGCAGGTGGGAGTGTAAAGCAGTTCAATCAAAACTATTTCATAATATAACTGGGAAAAAAATCTCTGCAATTACTACTAAGACTAAGCATACACCTCTTCTATAACCTAGCAATCCCACTGCTAGAGTATATCCCCAAGAGAAATAAGTGCTAATGTCCACAAAAGGACATGTACAAGAATGCTAACAGGGGGCTTCCCTGGTGGCGCAGTGGTTGAGAGTCCGCCTGCCGATGCAGGGGACACGAGTTCGTGCCCCGGTCCGGGAAGATCTCACATGCCGCAGAGTGGCTGCACCCGTGAGCCATGGCCGCTGAGTCTGCGCGTCTGGAGCCTGTGCTCCACAATGGGAGAGGCCACAGCAGTGAGAGGCCCGCGTACCGCAAAAGCAAAACAAACAAACAAAAACAAAAAAAAGAATGCTAACAGGGACTTCCTTGGTGGTGCAGTGGTTAAGAATCCACCTGCCAAGGCAGGGGACACGGGTTAGAGCCCTGGTCCCAGAAGATCCACACGCCGCGGAGAAACAAAGCCCGTGCGCCACAACTACTGAAGCCCACGCGCCTAGAGCCCGCGAGCCACAACCACTGAAGCCCGCGCACCTAGAGCTCGTGCTTCGCAACAACAAAAGCCACCGCACCACAACGAAGTGTAGCTTCCGCTAGCCGCAACTAGAAAAAGCCCGCGCACAGCAACAAAGACCCAATGCAGCCAAAAATAAAGTAAAATAAATTTTAAAAAAGATTTTTTTTAAAAAAAGGTGTTAAAAAAGTAATTTATAACCAAAAAGTGTAAAGAACCCAAATGTCCATCAATGAATGGGTAACTACAACACAGTAATATCAACACAATGAAATGTTACTTGGCAATATAAAGGAATGAAGTACCAATACATACTACAACATGGATGAACCTTGAAAGCATTATGCTAAGAGAAAGAAACCAGACAGAAGATCATATGCTGTATGATTCCATTTATAGGAAACATCCAGAATAGATAAGTTTATAGAAAGAGAAAATAAATTAATGAATGCTGGGGTCAAGGGAGAATGGGGAATGACAAGCAAGTACAGTGTTTTTTTGGGGGGGGTGATGAAAATATTCTGGAATTAGATAACAGTTGCACAACTTTGTGAATATACTAAAAAAACAGCAAGTTACACACTTTAAAAACTAAATTCGTAAAAAACCAATTTTACCGTATGTGAATTATGTTTCAAGAAAAAAGTTACATGTGAGGAAAAAAAATCAATAAAAACCAAAAAAATTCTTTAAAACATTTTATACATATGCACAGGCCCCAAAGCAAAAATCTATCCCAAGCCATGTGATTTAGCTAATTCTTAAGAATTAGGTCTTCCCTGCTAGTTCTTCCCTGCTGCCTGTTACAAAGCAGCACAATTAATAATTAGCAAACTAAACTCACTGGAACAATCTGACAAGCTAACAATCTCAGTTCAGAAATCATAATCTTATTTCTGACAACTACAAATTCTAGTGTTCTAAAAAGGCTGCCTATAGGAACTGGCGCAATTCACAAAAGCTCACAGAATTGAACTGAATTAAAATGAATGAAGTGCCACTTGCACATACAAGCATATGACAAAAGTAGATCATATTACATCAAGCCAGGCCCATGTAGTCACATAATGCAAGTCTGCCAGTCATTATATTAATATAGTTTAAAATTAGATCTATTACTCTCTTTCCTCCTCTGGAGAATTAATCAAAAAGCAAAAACACTGGGCATCAGGAGACCTGAATTCTGGTCCAAACTAAGCTAGTTGTGTGACCTTACCCTCTATTAGAGCTGTCTGTAAAATGAGGAATACCTCCGAGGCTACGAGTCTCCTGAAGTCCCTCTACCATCACCTCTCCCCCGTGCCACTCTGTGCACCCAGAGTCAAGTCATCATGGTTTCCCCACGTACTATGGAAGGCCAGCTCTCGGTTTCTACTTCTCCCACCCGCTATAATCCATTCTCTACATTGACAGCCAGTACTCTTTTCAAAACAGGAATCAGATCCTGCCACTCCCATCCATATGCCTCCCAGGTGCCTACAAGGCCAGGCCCTACCCGTTCTGACTCCTCCCCCCTCACCATCCTCTTGGGTAGCACTCTAGCCACTCTGACCTTTGGGTTCCTCCAACATTCCTAGCCCATTCCTCTCCAGGGCCTTTGCCACACTCCCATCTCCTCCGCCTTATTCTAACTTCCGTTCAAATGTCACCTCCTCAGAGAACTGAGTGTGGATTCTGGTCCCAGCCTGCTTAGATTCAACTTAATAGCTGGACATGTTACTCACTCATGCTGTACCCCCGTTTCATCTGTAAAGTGGTAACAACAGTGCCTACCTCACAGAATTATCAAAAGGGATAAACGCATGTAAAGCAAGCAGCAAATAGACTGGCACGGTTTTCAAATGTCATCTATCACTATACTTAAGGCACCCCATCTTCATTTTCTCCCTCTCCCTGAGCACTGTCTGGAACTGCCTTCTTTGTCATTCGCTTTAGGGTTCCAAAACCCCCATAGAATGTAAGCTTCGTGAGGCGCTTGCCTTGCCTTGTTCAAAGCTCTACCACCATTTCCCAGGAAAGGCATGCACACACTTGTTGAATATATGAATAAATCAATCACATCAAGGATTCCTTTAAAATAATACTGGCTTGATTCAAAGAATTAAGTGAAAAACTGCCTCAAACAGTTATGTAATGGGGCTGGTCTCCTCCTGGTCCTTGCAGACTGACCAGTTCATTTAGTCACTGGCTGAGGCGTTTCTGTCAAATCTAGTCACATAACTACAACAGACAACGAAAAAAGCTAATAGATTAACCTGTAAGAGTAGAAGTTGAATACCGTGGATATATGCTAATTCTCTGTAAACATACCACATAAATCCAAACTGCAGCACACCAAAAAAGGCTCTGGCCATTAGGAAAGTCATACCCTGAAATATGAAAATATGAAACAGTGACTTTAACTAAAACTGTTTTTCTACATGTACATATATATATAAAAAACATACAGTTATATATATCCACCTACACACACACACACACACACACACACACAGAGCCATCCCCAAAACTAGGGGGATGCTTTTTTCAACTCCTTTTAACTTTTCTTAACAAAATGGGCTATGTGGGAATAAATGTTTTGAACTGAAAGTTGTGACCCAACTCAGGAGCCTAAACATTACAGTTCTCCTTACTTATGGACTAAATTTCCATCATTCACCAAAGGAAATCCCAAATATAAGGTTCTGATTACTAGTATTAATTTTTAAAGCATCTAAAACTAACAAATATCCATTGAGATTTAACATCTTAAGACTCCAACATCTAATTTTTACCCACCAGGTCAAGCCCTTAATAAATATTTTTCCCTCGCTCTAGTAGTTTTTTTTTAATTGTTTTTTTAAGAAAGGCTTTATTATGTCGGTATCTACATTTTATGAAATCCTTAACATAATTTCAAGTTATATTCCGGTTTGAATGAACACAAATCCTGTCATGATACATCACATTAGTAATGACTTAGGCAGTTTTCATAGACGCCACCAACGGTTATGAAATTCGCCAGGCTGAGACCAAAGCGAAGAAGGGAAAAAGCCTAGGAATGCTGCAGGCTAGTCCCCCAAAGAAAACAAACCAACCAAAAATGCTTCGTGATTTTATTTAAAGATGATCACGGACGATCCCCATAATACCAAATATATACCACAGAGTTCTTTCTTTCTCAAATGGAAGAGTGAAGCCACAAATCTAGGAGGAGGAGTAATCTACGCTGGTAGATTCTTCAAAATTAGGAAAGAAAGGGAAAGGAGACGCGGCGGCGCTCTGCGGTCTCGGAGCCGCTCTCCAGGAAAGGCTTCCCGGGCGCCGGCCGCTCCCACTCCGGTCCGCGGCCAGGCTGGAGGTGGCTGGCGGCTGGCATGTTTGAAATATCACCACCCTATTCATCGCCTCCCGGCACAATGAGGCGCTGGGCAGCCGCGCCGAGGACCGCCCGCGCACACGCCCACCCGCCCCGCGCAGCCCGAGACCCGGGCGCAGCCGCGTCGCAGTGAAGTCACGCTCGGCCCGGGCAGAAAGTTTCGGAAAAAAAACCAAGCGCCGAAACGCACAGGTTTCAGAGCTGAACTCGTGCCAGGAACACGCCCGAGGCAAACCACTTGACAACCAGCTCCGGTTTTCAGCAGAAAGGCCGAGAGGCGGGGGCCGGAGAGGAAGAGGAGGCAACACACACACACACACTCTCTCTCTCTCTCTCTCACACACACTCGGCTCCTCTTCCTCTAGGGCCCCGGCGCCCAGGTGGGAGCGATACCGCAGCCTCACGCCCGCACGCGGCGCCGGGGCCCGGGCAGCGGGCGCCAGCTCCTCTCCCAGGAAGGCCCGGGACCCCCGGGCCACCTCGGCGCGCAGGAGAGGGTGCGCACGCCCGGCGCTTCCTTCCCCGTCCGCCCCCAACGACCGCGGAGACTGGGGGCCCCAGGGGCCCGGGGTCAGGGGATGCTCGGCGGGCCGGCCGCGGGCTCGCGCGCGCCCCTCCCCCCGCCCCTCCCCCCGGGCCGCCCGCGGGGCGCGCAGGACGCGAGAGCCGGCGTCCCGAGGGATCAGCTCGCCCGCCAGCCCGCCCCGGGAATCCGGGCAACTTTCCCCTGTGCGGTCTCGGGCTAACCCCGACCGGGCGGAGGCGGGGGTCCGGGGGCTAGCGCGGCGTGGACTCACTTTTTCGGATGTTTCTCTCTTTTCGGCCTCCGCTTTCGGGCCTGAATGGCCAGCACTGAGGAAAGAAGACACACATTAACGGTCGGGCAGGCCGGCGCGGGGCCGCGTGGCGGGGAGAAGGGGACGCCGCGGGCCACTCACCTTTCCGGGAGCTCATCCCGACGCGGGGGAAGTGGGGCGGGGGGCTTCGCGGCGGCGGCGGCGGCGGCGGCGGCGGCGGCAGCGGCAGCAGCTGCACCGGCAGCAGCGTCGCGGGAGCCGAGCCGAGCCGAGCTGCAGCCTCCACTCACTCCACCGGCCGGGAGGAGGCGGGAACCGCGCCTGCGCCGCCGCCGCAGCCGCCGCTCCCGCGGGGGGCCCAGCAAAACCCGCCCCCGGCCGGCCCCGCCCCCCCCCCCCCCCGCCCGCCACCCCGCACCCCCCCCGCCCGGTGGGGTCGAGACCCCCGTGCCGGCCCCGCCCGCGCGCCCGCACCCACCCGCCTAGCCCACCTGTGCGGAAGTGACCCCCCCCACGACCACCACCACTCCCTCCCATGCCTCCTCCACCCCAGCCCGCAGCCCGGGCCTCCGCCTCCTGCGCCCCTGCGGCTGGCCCAGGCCTCCCGTCCCTCCTGGGCACGCGGCCTGCGCGACCCTCCCTCTCCAACCACAGCCTCTCTCCTACCCACCCCGGCGGGTCGCGCCGCCCGCTTCTCCATGCGCCCTTCCTTGGCCGGCACCTCCGCGGGTCTCACACCACCTCTCCTCACGCGGCCTCTTCTCCCCCTTTGCTCCTCTACATCCTTGCATCCCCATGAGCGCCGCTTCCTCCTCTCTGGCGGGTGTGGAAAGGGCACAGGACCAAGAGCTGGGAAACCTGGGTCTTTCACTAGCTGTGTGACCTTGGAAAAGTCATCTTATCTCTCACCTTTATCTACCCCACAGGATTGCTTGAGTGTAATGAAGGAAAAGATGCAAATAGCACAGATAGTAGGATTAAGCTTTTGCACATGAATTAAGGTCCAGTTCAATAAATTCCATGTGTCTAACAATTCAGCACAACAACCCACCAAGGAGTTATTTCTTACAAAGAGGAAACTGAGTCCTGAAGAGGTTAAACAGTTTACCCAGCAATGATTCAAATTTAGGCCTACCTGACTCTAATCAAGTTGATTGGGGGATAAAATAACTGCAGTGATCCGTTGTTTATTTAAATAATTATAATAGTTTTGAAAAATATTCATCCTGACCATTTACCCTCTCAACTATATTCTTAACTGATCAGAGTAGCTAACCTTACTATAAAGATCTTAAACCCACTAGAACAGCGCTGCTTGAACTTGAAGAGCTTTTTACTTTCTCGATTTTTTTATTTTCAAACATATCAAACGTACAGAAAAGTTATGAGAAAAATACAGTGGCCACCCATATTACCCCATATTCACCAATTTTGAATATTTCACCACATTTGCCTTCCCCGTGTGTACGGGTTTTTGGTTTTGTTTTGTTTATGATCAATCATTTGAGTTTTTTGCAGGCTTTTACCCTTTACCCCTAAGTACTTCTATAAGTATCTACTAAGAACAAAGATACTCTCCTATATAATCAGAATTCCATTATCCAAGAAAATTTCATATCATTTTACTATTATCTGTAACATACAGCGGCCATATTCAAATTTTCGAAATGTCCTTTTTAGCTGACTTTTTTCTCAATCCGGAATACAATCAAGGATCATGCATTGCATTTAATTGTCATGTCTTTTTAAGCTCCTTTACTCTAGAATAACCCGTTTTTTTTCTTGTTTTTTTTTCTTTTGTAACATTCATTTTTTTGAAGAATTCAATTCTGTTTGCAGAATGTTCCTCAGTTTGTATTCATCTGTTCCCTATTAGATTCAAGTTAAATAATTTTGTCATGTACACTGTATAGATGAGGTTGTGTTCATCATAGTATGCTGCATCAAGAGGGATACGATGTCAGTTTGTACTATTATTGGTGATGTTATATGTAATCATTTCTCCATGGTAAAGGTACCTTTTTTCCTTTGTATTTAAAAAGTAGTCTGTGTAAAAAATGGGCAAAAGACTTGAACAGACATTTCTCCAAAGAAGATATACAAATGGCCAACAGGTACATGAAAAGATGCCCAGCATCATTAGAGAAATGCAAAGCAAAACCAAAATGAGATATCACTTCACACCTACTAGGATGGCTATAATTTTTTTTTTAATGAAAAATAAGAGTTAGTGAGGATTTAGAGACATTGGAATACTCATACATTAATGCTGGGAATGTAAAATGGTGCAATCACTGTGGAAAACAGTTCCACAATTCCTCCAAAACCTAAACATGGAATTATCAGCAGTTCCACTCCTAGGTGTATATCCAAAAGAATTGAAAACAGGTACTCAAATCCTTGTACCCAAATGTTCATAGCATCACTAATCATACTAGCCAAAAGTTTAGAAACAAATATCCACCAATGTATAAACAAACTGTGGTATAGACATACAAAGAAGTATTTTTCAGCCATAAAAAGGAATGAAGTACTGGTAGGTGCTACAATATGGATGAACCTCAAAAACCTTATGCGAAGTGAAAGAAGCCAGACACAAAAGGTCATCTATTGTTCTATTCCATTTATATGAAACATCCAGAATAAGCCAATCCACAGAAAGCAGATTAGTGGTGGCCCATGGCTGGGGGGAGGGGAGATAAGGAGCAACTGCTTAATGGATAAGGGGTTCTATTTTGTACCAATGAAAATGTTTTGGAGCTCGGTGGAGCTGGTGGTGGCACAACACTGGAGATGTACTAAATGCTACTGAATTCTTCTCTCTAAAATGATTAACATGTTAGATGAATTTCACCTTAATTTTTTAAAAAAGTAACCTGTGGGGTAATACTTGGAGATTGTCTGAGTATCCTCCCCCAAGAATCCTTCACTCCATGGGCTAGCATCCATCCATGATGTTTGCTTGAATCAAGTATTACTATAGTGGTTGGAGAATAATGACAATATAATCCTATCCTTCCATCTCTTCCAACTATGTTAATTAGGTGAGCTTTCATTTCTCCTGCCACCCCTTTGTTTTCTGCTTATTTGGGGCTTGATTTTTGTGGGGTTTTTTGTCTTTAGTATCAATATTGACAGTAAACACTGTCACTTTGAGTTTTGATTCTTGAATTGTCCCATATTTGACCAGGGAAGATGCTTTCAACTTGCAGTGTCTTTGGACATGTCCCAATCCATTTTTGAGCACCTCTTTACTTCCTGGCACAAGATATTCCAGGAAACCTTGTGCTTTCCCTAACTGAGTCTTAGAACAAGCCATTTCTCCCGTTTTTGCTCCTTCTAAAAGTTGATCAGAAGCTTTGAAGCCAAAGAAATCTGAGTTTGAAACCATTTTCCTTTACTATTTTTAACAGCTTAAGATATAACTCACACACCACACAATTCACCCATTTGAAGTACAAAATTCAATGTTTTTTAATATATTCACATGGCTGTGAAACCACCACCACAATCTAATTTCAAAACATTTTTGTCACCCCTAAAAGAATCTCCATACCCATTAGTTGTCACCCACCATTTCCCCCAACCTCCCTTTGCCTAAGCCCTGGCCAACCATCTCCCTTCTGTCTCTATAGACTTGCCTATTCTGGACAGATCATAAAAATGCAATCCTACCATTGTGGCCTTGTGACTGGCTTCTTTCTCAGCTTAATGTTGAAACCAATTTCTGCTGCTTAGTGGCTTTTTTTTTTTTTTTTTGGTCGCGCTTGGTCTTACTTGCGGCAGGCAGGCTCCTTAGTTGCGGCTTGCCAGCTCCTTAGTTGTGGCATGCAAACTCTTAGTTGCGGCATGCATGTGGGATCTAGTTCCCTGACCAGGGATTGAACCCTGGCCCCCTGCATTGAGAGCGTGTAGTCTTAACCACTGTGGCACCGGGGAAGTCCCTCTGCTGCTTAATTTTTGCATAACCTTGAGTATGTTACTTAATTACAACATCTGGAAAACAGTAATAATATCAATACCAATCATCCCAGATCAATATGATAATCTACGAAGATAATATTCAATAAATAGTAATTATCATGAACATTAGTTGGGAGACACATACCCAATCTGCTGGATCTTTTGCATTCATTTATTCTCAACAAATACTTATCAAACACCTGTTGTATAGCAGGCATTAGTCTAGGTATTGAGTCTACAGCATGGAAAACACACAAAAATCCTGCCCTCATGACGCTTACATTCTACTGCCAGAAGACAGAAAATAAACAAAATAAATATGCAAAAATATATACTCTGTTTACTAGATGGTGATAGCGTCTAGGAAAAGAAAAACAAAACAAAACAAAACAGCAATCTGTTGCGAAGGTGTTTAGGAAAGGCCTCACTGAGGTGGTAACACTTATTTAAAGACCTTAAGGTGATCTTTTTTTTTTTTTTTTTGGCCATGACGTGTGGCATGAGGGATCTTAGTTCCCTGACCAGGGATCCAACCCAGGCCCAAGGCAGTGAGAGCAAGGAGTCCTGACCACTGGACCACCAGCGAATTCCCCACCTTAAGGTGATCTTGCCAGGCTTTTTACTTCTATAAATTAGGAGAGAACTATATTTGCCACCTAGAATATTTGTGAATTTATTGAATTAAAATACACCAACCTAATTATTAATGAACAACTTTACACATACTATATTACATGCTTAAAGAATGATAAATTGTAAACCCAGTCCCTGCTGATCTGGAAATTAAAAATTTCTTTGAGATGCCTCAAAACGTAAAATGACATTTTGAAGGAAATACAAAAAAGAAGAAACACAATAACAGGAGTTTAATTTTTTCTACCATCATTTATTTATACATATATTAATTATGTGAATATTATAATTAAGAAGGGAAAGTATTAAAACTAGATGTAGGTTTCTGTAGCAGTCCAAAATAAATGAAAAGGGCAGTACGTATGCATTTTTCCCCAACCTCGCACAATGGAATTCAAGATGAACACATCATATTAATTTTTATCAAATATAAAATAAAATTAAAGAATGCTATAAATCCAACTGCACTCCAATATTTCCAAGTAGAGTTACTAAATCATGTTGTATCTTAGAAGGTATATTTATTATGTCATAGAATTGGAATCGGACTTGAGAGGTCATATAATGCATCTTGGGACCTTTAGCCTCCTTCTAATGGTCCCCCAACACTTTTAACTTTTTAGAAAAATTTCTTTATATCTTATGTACACCTTCTATTATGAAAATTAAGCCTGTTGCTTGTAATTTCATTATAGTGTGTTTCTCAGTGGCACTAGCACCATTATAACAGTGTAACACAGAAGTCAGTGCACAGAATAGTAGAGCCAAACGGTCAGAGTTCAAATCCTAGTTCTGTCATTAGCTGGCTAACCTTGGACAAGTTTCTCAGTTTCTTTGTGCCTCGGTTTCCTGATCTGCAAAATGCAGAGTAATATTACCTACCTTATACGTTTGTTGTGAGGATTAAATGAGTTATTTCACATAGAACGCTTAGAGAAGGATCTAAGTGTTCCCCCCAAAATTAGGTATTCATATTTATATGCATATTAAGACAGGTATTACTTATCTATTGGTGCACACCAAACCTCTCCCAAATTTAGCAACTTAAAACGACAAGAATTTATTATCTCACAATTTCTGTGGTCCAGGAACTTGGGAGCAGTCTAGCTGGAAAATGATGCTATCTGGGGCTGCAGTCATCTGAAGGCTTGCAGAAGGCTGAGAGATCTGTCACCAAGATGGTTCACTCACATGGCTGTCAGCAGGGGTCCTCAGG